AATAAAACGCAAAACATAATAACAAAAAGATGCAACTGATAACGGAATCTCGCTGTTGAATGACAAGATAAATTAGAACGAGTGTAGCCAACCGAAAGGCAGAGAGACGATTTCGAGTGGCGAGTTTCATTTGTGACGGGGTCAAATAAGTCAACACAGATATTTTTGGGTAGATACGAGTGTAGATATGGGTATATAAATTAGGGTGTGTTTGTTTTTTGTTCAAATGGCCTATTGTGAGATATTAAATGATAATGAGGGATACTTCAGATAGTGGAGAAAATGGTAGTAAATAATATGGAGAAAACCATTCGACCCTTAAATTCAAATAATGTAGTGAAGATTAGAAAATTCTGAAGGTCCATACATTTTTAGAAAAAATAAGAAGTTTTCGACAAAATAGTAGTTTTCAAACACATAAAGTATTTTTGAATATATATAGGATTTTCGAAATATAAGAGATTTTCAAATAATAAGCGATAAAATATTTTCAAAATATGAGAAATTTTCGAAAAATAAAAGGTTTTCGAAAATATAAATAATTTTTGAAAAATAAGAGATTTTCTTTAAAATGAAATATTTCGAAAATTAAAACAATTTCGCAAAGAAATAAAGGATTTTTAAATTAATATAATTTTTTCAAAAATTGGGTATTTTTAAAAAAATAATAGATTTCCAAAAAACAAAAAGAATTTTCAAACAAATTAAAAATTTTTAAGGAATAAAGAATTTTCGAAAAAATATGTGTTAAAAAAAATAACAGGTATTTGAAATAAATAAGATATCTTTAAAGAATAAAAGATTTTCGAAAAAATTTTAAAATTATCAAAAATATTTTGGAAAATATAGTGAATTTTCAATAAAGAAAGAAAGAAATATTGGATATTTTTAAAAAAATAATAGATTTCCAAAAAACAAAAAGAATTTTCAAACAAATTAAAAATTTTTAAGGAATAAAGAATTTTTGAAAAAATATGTGTTTAAAAAAATAACAGGTATTTGAAATAAATAAGAAATCTTTAAAGAATAAAAGATTTTCGAAAAAATTTTAAAATTATCCAAAAAATTTTGGAAAATATAGTGAATTTTCAATAAAGAATTTCTAATAACCCTTTAAAAAAAAAATTGAGATATAAAAAATATAAAAGATTTTGAAAACAACAACGAGAAAAACATTTGGGTTTCGAAATGGCGGTATTTTAACTATATTTTCTAAAATTCTTTTCTGGTTGTACGGAATTTCTAAAAAATGAACCACCCTAGTATAAAACGTGAATTTATGACTTTCATGGCTAAAAACTCGCATAGACAAACTTTGTTGACATTTTTGTTGTAATTGCTCTATATAAATCGTTGTTGTTAAGAATGTTGTTTACAAATGTTGCGTATAGCTTTAGATCCATTAGATATGACTGAAATGAAAATGAAACGCCCAACAACAATAAAAAGCTAAACGTGTAGTTACGTATGTGTGTGTGTGTAATGTGACTATGTTTATATGCGCTAGCCACAATTCGGCCAGTTGGTAGGCACTTTAGGGTTGGCAGCCTCAAACGTGCATACATATACATACATATGTACAAGTACCGTGTGCAAGCGAGCAATTTTGGTAATCGCCTGCTGATAAAATTTTGCTAAAAAACAGACTTTCAAGTGTTTGCTTGGCCGTCGCTACAAGGGCGATTGCTGACTGAATTGCGGTACAGCTGTAATACTTAGGCGAGCAACGGTGCGTGTATGTGTGATTATAAATATATGTATGTATAAGTGTACGTATGCCAGTATGCGTATTTGTGTGCGTTGTTTCATTGTATGTGTTTGCTAAAACTTTGATTGCCACTCGAGTTTTTGGCACAGCTTGTGAAGTGCTCAGCGCTCCGACATTGTTGCAACTTGTGAACGTGGCGGTAGTGCAAGACATACACATGCAAACGCAATAGTGAATAAGCAATAATAATAACAACAATATTATGATTTTTTATGTTTGTGGCCAAATTTGTTGCTAGTATCGATGACATTGAGCAATGTGGCATGTGGCAGCGCGCCCTTTGGGAATCTCGACAGCGAGTACACCAATATTGTTACAACAAAAATAAAATAAAACATAAAACTTATGTCTGATTTTGTTATTGCAAATGTGATGTAGTGCACTGGCCGCAAGTTTAGGCTGTTCAAGAGGGCTTGCCTGTGTGTGTGTGTGTGTTTGTTATGTATTTTTATACCTTGCAGAGCTTATTGTAAGTTTATCACGAAGTTTATCATACACAGAAGAAAAAGTCGGTAACCCTATAAAATATGTACATATATATTATGTAAATGCTCAGCATGACGTGCTGAGTTGATTTAACCATGTCCGTCTGTCCGTCTTTTTGCCTGTATATACGCGAACTACTCACTCAGTTTTTGAGATATCGATCTGAAATTTTGCACAAGTCAGTTTTTCCTCAAGACGCTATTCACTTATCGGAATTGCTAATATCGGACCACTATAGCATATAGTTGCCATACCAACAGAATGATCGGAATCAAGTAGTTGCATGGAAAACTTTTTAATTTGAGGAGATATCTTCACGAAATTTGGCACGCATTATTGCTTAAAACAATAATGCAATCTCCGAAGAAATTGTACAGATCGGATCACTATAGTATATAGCTGCCATACAAACTGAACGATCAAAATTAACTTTTTGTATTAAAACATTTTTATTTGTAAAGGGTATCAAAGCTTCGGTGCAACTGAAGTTAACGTATTTTCTTGTTTTGCTATTTGCTTTTGTTGTTTTGGTTGTTACACCACACCACTTCAGTCCAACTTGCGCTTATAACAATTTTTGCTCATAAACCGTGCAAGTCTTTGAAGTTGCCACATGCAAATGTCCAAATTTTTGCTTGACATACACATATATACAAACACACATGTATATTCATGCACATAGCCATATAAACAATTACTTATACTCACTCAAATGCTTGTCTGTCGTTTAAATTTGATGTTATCCGAATGTTGCCCAGCTGTTATGTTCTCCAAACTGGTCGCCGTTTGCAATCAAACTGCCCTGCCTTCACCCCTCTTCTACACATACCGCGCTCCTACCCTTTTGGCGCTGCTATCACGCTTTGCAACTCGTTTTGTAGCTGTTATGCTTGTCCGATGCGTGTATATACACCTTTAGTCTCGGGATTATGCTTGTTAACTTGATTGCTGCCACACATACACATATATATGTATATATCCGCTTTGCTTCGTTTTCAATTAAATTTTCACAATTTTAAATATCAACTTTTCTTTTCAAAAAAAAAATATATATCCTTAAGTCTTTGCATTAGTGTTGTAAAGCGTCACTTTAAAGGCGATTACAACTCAACTCTGCGCGGCTTGCAACACCCACCATCATACTACCACATACTGCCTATCTACCACCCCACCACTCGCTCTCTGCAACAAACAGCAAATTAGGCGGCTAAGTTTGTGGTTACTGTGGTTTCACCGCACGGCATTAGCTTCAACACTCACACGCACACGCACACATACACATACTCCCGGTCACCTTGTCATCTTAGTTACCAACAACCACATAAATTATGCCAACAAAAGCGCGGTCCAACTACTCATAAATATGCATAAATCTATGCACACATACAGCCACTGCCATAGCTATGCGCCTCTCATCATCAGCTCATTGGCAACGCTTGCCTCTGCAACTCGCTCGTCTCGACTTGTCTGCCTCCTGCACTCCTGTCATGTTTAGCATTTGGTTGGGCATGAAAAATTAATTTGATTTGGTGGTTGAAAATAATTATGTCGCATTAATAATCATAATAATAACGCTAGAAATATGCGCTGCTTTTGGGAGGGGGTGTGGTAGACCAACAACCACCCTTTCGCTGGCAAGCACGAATACGACCATAAACCTAAGTGTCATTGTTGGCAGTGAGTATGAGGTGAGTACACGGTAAAAGTTTTAAATAGCACATTTGCGGTTTTTGCTCATCATCTTATAGCGCTAGAGCCTGGACCGAGTTTCCAATATTTGTTCATTTTTCGAGTTTATCGGTTCAGGGTTGTTATTCGAGGCTTTTGTTCAGCTTTCATAACAATTAATTTCTTACGTTGTCGAGGCTGAGCTCCGGTCACGTGGTAGATTGTTATACCTCAAGCTTTCGGGTGACAATTTTCTCTAAGACATCGGTTGTTTGGGTTGTACCGCGCATATTAGGTCGTCAGAACATCTTTTTAATTGGGTCACTATCCCATTAGCATCCTATATATGTAGTTGTTTTTGTATACATCTTACTTCCATCATTTCAAAAAGCAGCTTCAGTGGGGTCTCTTTAGTTTAGTGGAACACTAACGAGTTTCTGAAACAAATTAAGCTCAATTCTAAGCAGTCAAGCTTAAAAGACTTAGACTAAAGAAGGTTGAGTAGTCCTAGAAAATATATTTGTTTTTAAGACTTGATACAGATCACCACAGCACGTACGAATTAAAAGAGTCTTACACTGATCTACTCTCCAAGACTAAAAGTTTAAAGACAAAGATCATAAGTTCGTTGAAATTATGTCTGGTTAGATTGTTATGACTGTTCTAGCTTAAGTTGTAATAAGAGTTATAATATGTTATAATTAGAGTAAACCATAGTAACAGATTACAGCTCGAAATAATAGCGCTTTATAATTAAATCCCTCACATTTGCAAAAATAATTTTAAAATTTTTTTGAAGTGTTTTTGGTTTTTTTGCTTTGTTGTTGTAATACCTTATCGCCAACTGAATCAGTTCAACCTGAGTTTATTTTTTGTCCTTTTGGTTTTGCAACGATAACTTTTCAGGTCGCCTACGTTGACAACAACAACTTTTTTCAGCGTTAATTGCCGCACGTTTGCAGCACATTTAACGAAGCATTTCGCTAACAAGTCGTTGGGCAAACCCGGCTGGCTGGCAAGCAGGCAGTATGACACCCCAACACACAGGCAACACTGGTAATCGTCACAACTTTTCAATTCCAATTCGAATGATTGTTTGTCCCTTAAGTAATAAAATAAATTTATGGAAAAAAATATATATGTTTTCTGTTTCCATAAAAATGAAAATTATGATAGAATTAGACTGTAAACTGCGGAGTCATCTTATAAAACTGTTGTGAATCTCAAAATTGGCCAAGAAAACTATTTTGGAATTGCAAAAACAGGATTTTGCAGTAGACAAAAAAAAATGGACCACGAAAGTACATATGATGGATCTTGGAACCACATTTAGACGCTCGGATAAAGCTCGATTAACAGTGAGTAATGGAGTTGATTTGTTTAAAGTCCCATACATAAGTATTAGGCTACAATCTCTTTTTAGGTCGATAGACTGGACCCAGCCATGCTACTGCTCCTTTAACTCGTCTGGAGGTCGGCAAGGTAGACCCCCGTGGAGGCGAAAATTTTTCCATGCGACTCTAACTTCTGCACGGCGAGACAGAAAGAAGACCCACGAAACCATTGAGTGTACGGTACGGCAATAGTTTGTACCTCAATTGGGTCGTGGCGAGCGCGGAGATGTGAGCCGTTGTGTTGTCATGATAGAAAAGCATTTCTGTCAAACTTTCAAACACCATCTGGTTTCATGATGGTTTAAAATCCGCAATCCCTACTGTCGGGTCATCATTCATGCGTACTTTGAAACTAGAAAAGCCAAGCTAAGGATTTGTTTGTTGCGTCCAAGAGGTCTAATGGAGTCACTTGAACACATTTAAATTGAAAATTTCCTGAGAGCTGGATCAGCAGCTGTCCTTGGGCTAGAGTGTTTCATGAAATTTTTTGATGGTCTATGAGCGGGCTGGGCGCCTCCGTGCCTTTGCCACATGGAGTAATAATCCGTTTATTGTCATCTTTGCTCATATTGGTTTTGTGAATTTATACTTTATGCTAAAGATGGATGTCACTTTAAGGTGTATTTTTCGTTTCTCTCTCCTACTTACCGAGACGCTTACTAAAAGCCAATTGGAACGGTCTTTCCATCATTTCTTCTTTACGATGCGGGCTTGCGACTGGCTATGACGTAGTTTAAATTCAATAATTTCTGAGATTTTATAGATGTGGGTTGGTTTTTATAGATAAAGCCAGCAGGATCGTTCTATCTATGTAAATATTCTCTGCCTATCGGACTATAAATGTAGTTATTAAATCAGCATTAAAATATATTTCTCATCAAAATTCTTCTATATTGCGGAGCCTCTTTGTAGAGAACATTGAAATTAAGAAATTAGCAGAAAACTGTGGAAAAATCTCAGTATTAGTATGTTACCACAAATTTTAACCCCTCACTTGGCACGTGGCATCACAACTCTCTCATTGCAAGATCTGCCGTTAGGCTATTTTCAGCAACACCTTGCTCTATCACTCGCTCTCTCTCTCACTCTTCGCCACCGCATGGTGTCAGCCCGGCGCAATATTAATGACGCGGCTAACGGAAGCCTTTTCGAATTTGTTTGATTGGATTTCTTTGTATTCGGAAAAAGTCTACGCATTTTGCAATTTAATTTCCGAGCGCGTCCTGTCAATCTACTCATCCTCCTCCTCTCCGTTAAACCTCACCTTGCAGCTTGGCTATTAATACCAGCAGCAGCAGCAGTCCAAGCGTGCAACCTTATTCGCATTTACCAAAGACATAGTCGACCTTTAAAATGAGTAGCAGGTGGACAACAATGGCAACAACAACAACAGCGGTTGTATGCAGTGGCAGCAACAGCAACAGACAGCGTCAGCAATGTAGATTGATTTTGCTTTATTTTATTACGATTATTATTATTATTGCTTTTATTTCCTTGGAGACCTGTTCGATGACTTCAAAGCGCTCTACCTCACCACCTGCATCAGCAGCAACAACACCACCAAAAACATGGCAAACACAATGTGCCACATCGCAAAGTGGAGGCTGAAATGTGTCGCATAATTTTGTTATCGTTGTTGTTGTTGCCCATTCAGCGACAGTTTTTTAAGCTCTGTCCACAGTGGTAGTATATCGTAGTCTCCCTTGACACCTGCCAACTACGCCTGTATGCGTGTGTGTGCGTGTTTGGTTTCGAGCTTTTGCAGGGCTTCACATTTGCCGCGTTCGTTACTGGCTAGCCACGAGCTGTTTTTTTTATTGTATTGCATATAAAAATTGTGACATAATGTTGAGGCACTCATAGGCCTACCTACCTAACCTGGACCCCCACCCACCTCTCAGCGGTTATCCGCTTGGTTTTGCGCATTTGTACGGCTGCTTGTTTTTCATTTTGCTATGAATTTGCTGAGGCGGCAATTTATGAAGTTTATTTGCCACATTTCAGCTGCCGCCCCCTTAAAGCCTCTTCCGTGCATTTATGCAACTTCTAATAAGTTTTTTTTATCATTAAAGGCAACTTATGGTAAATATAGACTTCAAACATGTTTCTTTCTTATAGTTGCTGTTGTTGTTGCTGTACTTAAGTAGATCACGTGTGCTGTCGCTTTGTTAAAAATATTGTCCATTTTAATACTCGTGTGTCACTTCAAAGGAAGTGGTCATTTGAAATCGTTTAGCCTTAAATGACCGCAACGGGCTTCTCATACCCGCGATACAGTAGGTAATATAAATATGTGCTTAAAGCTCGTTTGTGGTTTTTGTATACATATTCTAATTGTATTTTAAGCATGACTTAGCGATTAGTTTGTGTTGAATAGACGCTTAAGCGTTGTAATATTGAACTTTTTTTTGACTTCGAAAGCGCTTATACACTTAAAAGATTGTCCACATACCGTTAACTCTTTAATCTATTGTTATGAGGTAAAAAGTTTTAATAATAAATGCAATTTAATTGACAAAGGCCTTATTTGCAAAAAAATTGTTGGCCATGGAATCGTTAAAAATATTGTAAAAGAGTTTTGAAAAGTCTACCTTATCACGAACATAAGTATTTGAGCTGCACAATGCATACAGTGGAGGTCGTGAAGTCATTGAAAACTTGCCTCATGCGCGTCGTCCATCCATTGCTGTTAAAGAAAGTGTGCTTGTCTTACCATTATAGTAATATCCAAAAATCTCCCTGCTCTTATGGGATGACTGAATATATTATGGTTAAAGTTTTGGGTATAAAGCGTGCCATTGCTAGACTCACCACGAAAGACCTTAATCCTTTGCAAAAACGACGTCGAGTAGAGACCGCAAAAGAGATGCTTGATGCAACAAAAGCATCATTACTGGTGACAAAACGTGGTTTTATGGATCTAACGACGGAACTATTTAGTAATCCGCTTCCAAATAAACCAAAGCTAAAAAAATAAGTCAAAGTCGGTCAAAAATCAAAGTGATGCTCATCGTTTCCTTGATTACCGTGGTGTTGTTCACCATGAACACGTTCCATAAGATCAAACGATCAATAAGGAGTACTGCAAGGTCATTTTGAGGCGTCTACATGAAGCAATTCTCTTTAACGGCCGGATTTGTGGGCAGAGAACTTTGGAGCGCAACTGAATTATTGTGAGTAAATTTTGGAGATTCTATTGTTTCAAGAAATGGCGACATTGAAAGGTCTCCAAGAAGTTGTGCTATAACACCACTAGGCTACTCTTGTGGGGTTATTTGAAGTCATCGGTCTTTAGGCAATTAACCAGACTTTCTTAAAACTGTAGGAGTCAATATTGAACGTGCTATTCATGACATAAAACTTGATTTAGTGGAAAAAGTACGCGAAAATTGGGTTTATCGAATTCGTTCCTGCAAAAGAAGTCGTGGAGGCCATTTGAATGACGTTATATTCAGAGCTTTATTGTATCGTTCGTACTTCACATTAAATAAAAATTGATTTTTCTTAACTAGTAGTGTGTTTTTTTTTAAATCATATTACTCTTATTGAAAAACGTTTTATAGAAGGTCCAATGATAAACTGCCTTCTGGTATATACAAATGATACATAGAGGCTTACCAAATTAAGCGCTTACAAAAATAACAGATTTCCGTAAGTCTGATCGATTTTCGAGTACATATTATTGTATATTTTGCATATTAATCATTAAAGATAATACCGTGGAGTATTATATGTGTTATAATCTATTTGAGATAGTTCAATGAAGTTTCAGAAAAAGTCGTTTTTTATTACTAAAGTTCTACTTGAAATTATTTTGTATGTTATCGTAGGAATTATGGGTAAAAAAATTAAAAAGACAGCTGCTAAAACTCTCTCAAGGCAATATATAGGGTAATTGTTGTCCCTGAGGTTTGGATGAAAGAAATATTTGTAATTAAGATTTCTTAAGTTCAGAAAACCGCGTCAGACAAGACTTGCCTTATGTGGTTGTCGAGAGGAGAGAACTAGTAGAACGCAACATTATGTATTCTAAGACAGAAAGCTCAAGCTTTCAGGTTTAATTTTCAGAATTTTGTACAAATTGTCTTCGAGCTATGTATTACTAATGTCTTATTTGATATTTGTAGTTGTATAGGTCCATAAATCTTCTACAGAAACTTTTCTTCGAATATAACTAATATTTCACTGTTATTAACTTTACGATGTCAGTCCCTTCGCTCGTCTCCTGCTCCGACTCTTTTGAAATTTTAAGAAGCTTGGTCAAACATAAAAAATCTAAGACATGAGGAAAACTTGCATATCTTCAAGAAGGAAGAGCAAGAAAATGAAACTATTGGCCGTAAAAGCCAAGAATTGATAATAAAATCTATTAGCACAACATATACTAATACATACGAGTATATCTCAAACTAACCCCAGCAATCAGACGGTCAAGGAATGCCACCGGAAGTTGGGTAATTGCAACAAATAATTTGGAAAATATGCCATAGGAATGCAGAGCTATAAATTACACACAACACAAAAAAGAGGAAGAACGAAAAAATGTGCGATTGATATACATAAATGCCGTTATTTTTGCAAAACCCATCGAAAGATTTGACATACCGAGAGTTTTGGGATGCAATATCAATGTTTTTATTGCCTTATTTTACTGTTATTTTTTTGCTACTTGCAATCACAATCATTACAAATGCGACGCTGCATTGACGGTGACGATGTGAACGACGACCGAATCGAGTGCCGGATGCAATTCCTACAAAATGATAATTTATGATAATGACATTTCCGCTTACGGCTCATGACTGACCCGTACGCCGAGTCGCACCGCACCGCGCAAAGCAACGCATTTATTTACGCCATTGTGTGTGCATGTGTCTAACCGACCCGCGCGCACGACCGATGATGCGTAACATTGCGTGGCCACTGTGCAACTCCACAATTTGTCTCATTTTCAAATTTATACGAAATTTCACTTGTTAGTTATTATGCCAATGAAGCGAGCGATGGGCGAAATTTTTGGGCACGAGCGGGGGCGCGCACATGCAATATAGACGCGGCAAGTATTTATTGATAATTTCCGCAGGACGCGCAACAGTAATGGCGGGAGTAGGTGGTTGCGAAAGGCAAGCGCGTACCAGCGCGCGTACAACATAAAAGCGGAAGTGCTGCCATTTTGTGTATCGGCGTCGAGCAATCGATTGTTATTGTTATTGCTTTAGTTGTAGCTATTGTTGTTGCATTTTCGTAATGATAATAGTTGAACACAAAGCGAAACTGTTGGACAAATAACACGTTTGTAAGGCATAATATAAATATTTTCGCATGCCGCGCCACCACCGCCAACGCGCTGCTCTTGCTAGCGCCTATTGTTGCGCGGCTTTATGTTTCACGCGCCACAGCGCACTTGTGTGCCTACTCAATTGTTTACGGCGATTTATGACATACGCGGATGTTGGTCATAGCCAGAGCGCGTATGCCTCACGTTGGGGCGCCGCTTGACATTCAAACGCGCGCTCACGCGCATATAGTTTCAGTTTACATTCATAAGGACATATGCGGCACTTCGATGTGCAATGCATAGTTTGCGCGGCGCTTATCGTTGTTATTTATTGTTGTAAGCGCAATATTATGGCGTCAATCTCTAATGACCTTGAAAATTAGTTCCTTACAAAAAGCTGTCGAAACGCTCACTTTGCAACTATATGCGCGCACTTTTGTGTAAGTTTATGCGCAACTATTTAATGTCAATTGTTGTTGTTTTTTCTTATATAATATTATTATTTGTAATTATTTTCTCATTGTATCGCCAAGCACGTGCCGCGCGTCCAACAACAAAGTATCCATGGACAATATTTACAATACAAATAGTAAATGTTGCCAGTTCG